CATGCATAATTAACCAGCTCCGTATATTTCCGAAAACTAAAGATTACTAGATGGGTCTTTTCTGTCTGTAATGGCTTGTAGCTAAGATGGCTCTATCCAGCAGTCACAGTATCACTTTTTCTTTACTTGAAGAATGATCTGATGGGACATGGACCTGCGCATAGACTGTTGGAGTAGATTGGTGTAAGAATTATCCTTGTAGCACCAACTGATACTGAGATACACACCGACAACTGGATTGACAGGACTTGATGATGAAGATGATGATGATGAAGATGAAAAAAGGTGGCTGAACAAAACGGCCGGTTCGTCGATTTTTGGCTTTCCTTTTAGACAAGGTCTAGAGCCACGCTATGGGTACCATTGGAGTCCTCAGGTCAAGATAAGGTCCTCTATAAAGTCTGGTAAGCATAGGAGCTCGTTTTCCCAGTATAGCAAGGCTGCAAAAGTCGTGGCAGCCATTTTGAAGTGGGGTGAATCCTACTTAGTAACGCTACCGCGTTACTAATAGATTTGGGTATTTTTCAGAATTTTGGTGTTTTCTTAAAATGGCTGTAACTTGAAAAATTGAAGTCGGAATCACCTCAAATTTTCTAGACAGCATACAGACATTAATATGTATCAGATAATGTAATAAAAATTTGGGGTGATTTTGGAGCCATTTTTGGAACAAACCATGGGCTATAGCCTTGGGTATTTTTCAGATACCCAATATATTTCCCAGTATCTCCAATAGTGCTGGATCAGACACAAAGAAGAACCGAGGAATTTGTACATGTACATAGTTAGAGTATAGACTGACCTATGAATAATAAACCCACCATATGATCATTAATGTACATGTACATGTTCATAGTAAAGTGCTGTACATGTATATGCATAAAATCATCAAAAAATTTACAAAGAAATAAAGCTGCCATACATTAAAGTGCTGTACAAAATACAAATTATTTAAAGAGGAGAACATTACAATTTATACAGTATAGACCTACCATCTTCATCATAATTGCTCATGGTGTCATCAATTGTATTTGAAAACTTTAGCAGAAGGTTCCAAGTGTCTTTGGGTATTGCCAGCTCTTTTATAATGAGACTGAGAGAGAGAGAGATGAAATGTAACCTTTACATGTAATTACAAGCATTGTTTACTTTTAAAAATTCACACCACAAGTCCAAAAATTTGAAGCAACCAGTAAAAATAAGATTCCAGTAGGCAATGGCCATCTCAAGATCTGTAGAGAAATAAAAAGCACGAAAAGATTTTAATCAATTCATACAATATACATTAAATTATACATGTACATGTACTCTCAAATTTTAGTAGGATCACTCGCAAAATTCCCCCATCAAAACGTGTACATTGAAATCATTGTGTGGCAAGTTTAGCAAACATGATCCTACATGTACATGTACATGCATTATAATATGTCACTAGCCTAGTCCTTTCTGCCCGAGTTTTTGGCAACATTAAACGTAAACTGGTAGAAGTCCTTGAACTGTTGTGAGTCCTGTATCTCTCAATCAATGGTCTCACACCTTTTATGGAGTTTATCAATAGAATCACACCTAAAAGATGGAGAGGGGGAGAGAGAGGGGGAGAGAGACAAAGACAAAGATAAAGAATTATACATTTATTTGTAAAAAGAATGTGATTATGTTTTTATGCTTAAAGCAAAACTCATGAAATACAGTGATAAGAACATGTACAACATAATAGGAGAATGTTCATGTGCAATGAATGTGTCCCATCATACACACACTGCATGTACTGTACC